CCCTCCAGGAGGAAAGTGCAGATGATGTGCGCCTGGTGGAGCAGGGTAGAAGCCAGGCTGCGGGTAGCCGGGGTAGCCGTACGGCACGGGTTGCTGGTAGTAAAGACCATGTTGCTCTGCCTCGCCGGGTGTGATCCCAGCGGGAAGAGCAGAGGGTGAGAGGGGTCCAGGGGCCAAATGCGGAGGAATCATGGGTTGACCAACGCTCATAGGAATGTCTACCGGGTGTGCGAATGCGCACCTATCCCCGTAGCGGCAGTTGGGAAAGTTGCGGCATGGGATGCTCCGAGCGATGTCGGGAGGGGGCAAGTTGGCAGAGGAGTCTTTACGACCGTGTTGGCCATCCGGCTTTCCATTGCCCGCCAGATGAACAGGCTGCCCAGCTCCAGGTGGGGCACGGAAGGGACCCGCCGGATGTCCATAGAACGGACCATAGTGAGCGACTGGTCCATCAGCGTAGAAGCCATGAGGTGGCTGGTGCGCGCCAGGAGGAGCGCCGTAGGGTCCCATCTCGTGATAGGGAAGGGGAGGCTGCGGAACAAAACTGCCATGCTGCTGCGCATACATCCCTGGCATGGCATTCACGTAGCTGATGGCACCGTTGGGTAGCTGCTGCCCGCCATGAATATCTACAGGGTATGGGTCCTGCGCCCCTTCGTGATGGGCTTCGGTAGGCGCCGCTCCCGACCCTTCCTTAGGCCCAAAAAGGAGAGCGCTGATCTCGACATGATCCTTGCCATGTCCTTGCTCAACAGCCTGAGCGCGATCGGCACCTGTGAATGGTAGAAGGGAGGTCACAGGCATCAGTGCATTGCTCCTCGTGCCGCAAAGCTTGACATGCTGTTTAGAGTTCAGAAGCTGCTTCATGCCCAGGAGTCCTTGCGAGACCAGACTGGAGCTGCTCAGACCTTCGAACGCAGATGGCTTCACGTCCAACGCATGGGCACGCAGTGATTAGGTGGACGAGCTTGCGCCTTCACTGCTCGGCGTCGCTTTCTGCGAAGAGACTCTGCGGGAGCAGGGGTTTAGCAGACTCACCTTTTGCAAGAAGCTCCTTTACAACCTCGACGTGACCTGCCCTAGCGGCCAAAGCGAGCGCTCCTAATCCCTCCTCATTCCTCGCCTCAACAAGCTCCACAATTTGTTCCTTGTGCTGATCGAGTGCGGTGCGAAGTGCTTCCACATCGCCCTCTCGGCTAGCACGAAGAATGAGTGAGCTCATATCGTCGGCGCGGTCGATTCAATCCTTATAAAGACAGCGCGGCGATGGTTTGAATGGTCGCCAGCGCTGCTTGTAA